CGTCGACCGTATTTGGGCGCCGCCCAAATAAAAATTTGAAGACCCTTTTTTTTTTTTTTTACATTATTTACGCAAATATTGTTTTTTTTGTGAAAAAACACTGATTTTCCGCTAAATTTCTCTGAGTCGGAGAACCACCGCCCTAATTTTTTTTCCTATAATAGGTCCTGTATATATATATATATATATATATATATATATATATATATATATATATATATATATATATATATATATATATATATATGTATATATATATATATATATATATATATATATATATATATATATATATATATATATATATATATATATATATATATATATATATAATATATATATATATATATATATATATATATATATATACAGGGTGGCCCATAAGTCACTTTACATTTTAAAAATTAAATAACTTTTTTTCTATTAATTTATTTCTATTTCTCTTTTTAGAATTAAAAAATATAATTTTTGGAAATTTTTAGTATGGATACGTTTACAATAGGACAACGAGTGAAGATAAGTGAATTTAACTTTGAAAATGAACGGTCAATTGTTGCAACGCAAAGATCGTATATGCGCCATTTTAATGTTCGACATCTCCCTAGTAGGCCTGCAATAATGAACTTAGTGACGCGTTTTTAAGAGCATGGCTCTGTAAGTGATAGGACTAAAAGTGGACGAGGTCGTTCAGTACGTACATGTGAAAATACTGAAGCTGTGAGCCGTAGCATTGAAGAGAACCCAACCACATCCACTCAAAGGCGTTCTCAAGAACTTGGCATTTCACGGAGTTCTCTGCAGCGCATTCAAAGAGACTTGCACATGTACCCTTACAAGATTCAATTAGTGCAATCTTTACAACCACTAGATTTTCAGAAACGACTAAATTATGCTGTCAGGTTTCAGACAACTGCAAGAAATGACAATGAGTTTATTCACAAGTTGATCATGGGAGATGAAGCTCATTTCCATTTGAACGGACATGTGAATAAGCAGAATATGAGATTTTGGGGCACCGAAAATCCATACCAAGGTCATGCGAGTCCATTACACTCAGTTAAAGTCACAACATGGTGTGGAGTAACATCAGAAAAGGTTATTGTGCCCTTCTTCTTTGAAGATGTAAATGAAAATGCTGTGACTGTAACTGCTGAGAAATATCAAGACATGCTAGCGAATTTTGTTCAACCTCAGTTAGCAAACATGGCAGGGTATTAGTGGCAACAAGATGGAGCAACTGCACATACCGCTAGAGCCACAATGCAGTTGTTAACTGCAATGTTTCAGGATCAGATAATCTCTCTTAAATTCGATTTAGAATGGCCTCCACGTTCTCCTGATTTGACAGCACCAGACTTTTGGCTTTGGGGATATCTTAAAGACAAAGTGTAATAATAATAAGCCCCAAACTATTCAAGATCTTAAGGCAAACATACGACAGGAATTTCTTTTCCTACAACCTCAGATGTTAAGTAGTGTTGTGGAGAATAGCTTAAAAAGAGCTCGACATTGTGAAGACGAGAATGGAGGCTATTTAAGAGACATTATCTTTCGTAACTAAGTCAGAACTAACTTACAGATTCTAAACTTTGTAATAAAAAAAGAATTAATTAAATACAGTCGTTTAATAAAAAGATATTTAATTTTTAAAATGTAAAGTGACTTATGGGCCACCCTGTATATATATATATATATATATATATATATATATATTTAAACATCTTCACTTCCAACAAGGCTGCAAGCAACCACTAATTAGTGTTGGAAGTTACTGGAAGAGAAATAATGAAGTAGTTGTAGAGCAAATTTCAAGTTGTAGAGCAAAATAACAATTGACAGACGGCTTAAAAGAATGCAAACTATATGAATCAGGAAAGCAAGATGAAGGAAGCGAATTCCAAAGAACTGATGTTCGAGGGAAAAAATAAAAGTTTTTGGAGCACTTAGGAACAGTAACAGAAAAAGGATGAGACTTAATTGAATGACGAGTAACACGAGAATGAATTCTATTAGATGGCACAAGAGATGCTAGCTCTTTAGAGCAGTGCCCATTATAGTATTTGTAGAAAAGAGAAAGAGAAGCAACATTACAATGATGTGACAAAGGTTGAAGATTGGCTGCAAGAGCAGGTCCAACTATGTTTACAATGTGTTTTTGCATCTTGTCTAAAAGAGAAAGGGCATCATTAGAAGATCCGCCCCAGATATGGCAACAGTATTCCATACAAGGACGAATTTGAGATTAATCGAGATAGAGAATAGAATCAAGAGTTAGAAAGTATTGAACTCGCTAAAAGAGATGCAACTTTAGCAGATGCTAATTTTGCAATGGATTTGATATAAGGTTTCCAAGAAAGATCAGAAAGTAAGAGTAAATCCTAGAAGATGAAGGGTAGATTCATTGAGCACATTACCGTTCATAAATATAAAAAGGTCTATTATTGCGATAATGATTGGCTGAAAAAAAATTTTATCTGTATTAAAGTTCACCAGCCACTGTGAGCCCCATGCTGTAACAGAAGTGAGATCCTTTTCAAGTTCAAATGCCTCCCGCAAGCAATCAGAGGGAGTTGGCTTCTTATCGTGACAAGAATAAATGGTAGTATCATCAGAGAACAATGCTACCTTAGGTGTGAGAATATCTGGAAGATTGTTAATGTAAATTTATTATAGGGCCAAAGATTGAACCTTGAGGAACCCCTGAGGTTACAGAATAAGAAAAAGAGTGCTGTCCATCAAGAACAATTTTTATACTACTATTGGAAAGGAAGGATTCAATAATCTTAAATTACAGTGTATCTGGATGTTTCCAGATACACCGTAAAAAGAAAGCTTATGGATAACACCAGCATGCCAAACTTTATTAAACGCTTTAGAAATGTCAAGAGCGATGGCCTTAACCTCTCCATTTTTATCTAATGCGCGATAAAACCTATCAATTATCACTGTTAGCAAATCAGCCGTAAAACGAGAAGATCGAAATCCATATTGATGATCAGAAAGTAAGTTATTAGATATCTCTCTCTCTATAAATAAATATATATATATATATATATATATATATATATATATATATATATATATATATATATATATATATATATATATATATATATATATAGAGAGAGAGAGAGAGAGAGAGAGAGAGAGAGAGAGGAGAGAGAGAGAGAGAGAGAGAGAGAGAGAGAGAGAGTAGGTAATATCTACCAATTTTATGTCAATAGCTTTGAGCGAAAAATTAGATTTTATAGAGATAAAAAGAATTTTTTTAATTTTTCCATTAAATGCTTCAAGGAGCACGACAAAACCAGTATGATATCAACCCAATTGATCCAGAGGAAGCATCTTGAAGTTATCAGCAGTCAACTCATTTCAAGACTCTTGAAAGCATCCATTTAATTTAAGGACCAGATTGGCTTTCTTTTTGCATGTCTTTACTCTTGACTTTTTTTCAATGTAAGTTAAAATAATGAATTATTTTAAAAACTTTTCTAACTCATTACATTATTCCTATGGTATGACAAATATTGTTTGAAAAATTGAAACTTTAAAATTAAACACACATTTCAACTTATTTGTCGTGAAACTTTCAAACATATATGAAAAAAAATATTTCTTCCTAATGAGATATTAATTTTTATTTTTTATGTTTTCTTATTTTCAGAGGCTGAAACCATTTTTATTGATGCTTCGTTCAAAGTGGTGCCAGCATCTTTTTATGGTGGACAACTTAAAAGTTAAACAGAAGTTTAAGGGGTAACTTTGCCAATTTGTCATATTCTCATGTCTTGCAAAAAGCAGGGATTGTATTTGGCTCAGTTGAAAAGTTACAAGAATTTGTACCCGACTTTGTACCTAAAATTGGAATGTCTAATTTTGAACAAGCAATTGGAAATGCATTATCATTTTGTTTTTCTGAAATAAGATTAACTGGCTGCCGGTTTCATTTTGGACAAGCTATCTTGAAAAAGATTAAGGCTGTAAGTTTGCAGACAGATAGCATTCATAATGTTTTCCAGATTTGTTTTCAGTTTTTAGCCTTAGAACCAACAACACCTCAGAATCACTTCACTCAAAAATACGCAAAAATATGACGCTCATATTTGTTCATATAGGAACCTACAAAAAGCAGGTTTTTGGAGGTTCCTTGATGAGCTTTATAAAAATTTATTTTTCCAGGAAATAGTTTTCCAACTGAGCTTGAGGTTAGACAACTCTGAAATAGAGAAAACTATTGTAGGGCAGAAAGAAGACAGGAAAAAACTTGCCTTTATGAAAGTAGATTAAGCTCTGGTGAATGGGCTCCAACAAAGTTTCTTGAATCATCAGCATATTTGTTTTCCGATTTAAAGATACCCACAGATGAGGAAGTCAATGAATTTGTTCAGAATGAGCTTTCCACCCTTTAGCCCCTAGCGCAAAATCCAACTCAAGAACTATCAGTTGATAGTCTTTATAAAGTTTGTTGCGCCCAAAGACTTGAAGTTTTAATTTTACCACGCAGACATTTTGCATCGTGCTCACAATGCAAAGGGATTCTTTCTATGGGCACGGATAAAAGGTGTCCAATTTGCAGAACTGAAATAATTGACTTAATTAATGTTTTTTATTAAGAATTTTTCCCAAATCGAAAAATGCTTGTCACAAAATCCTTTTCTCTTTTAAACATTGTAACAAACTTCTACTACTTGTACGTAGTAACTCACTGAAAATAAATGATTTATTTGCAAGTTTATATTTACTTTTGCCAGTTGGTTCTTAATTAGTTAATTTTTTAATAGTCGGTTGTAAATTGATTTTTCACTATTTATATATATATATATATATATATATATATATATATATATATATATATATATATATATATATATATATACATATATATATAATTTTTTTATGCATGATTTTTTTTGCATATATGAACTTTATGTTTCTCAAGACCAAAGTGTCTTGTATAATTAATGTATAATGCAGTAAATAATATTAAGTTTATAAAATACCTTCATTGATTTCCGCCAACTTAAATATAATTGCCGAGCCAACTCAGAATTTAACTCCATAATAAAATCATTTGAATTAAAGCTATCTAAACATGAACATTTAAAATTAAACATAAAACATATTAAATTAAATAACAAATAAAAAAAATAAAAAAACTGAAAACATAATTGTAATAACAAATGCTAAATTTTTGAAAATAAAAATAATCCATTTGAATAAATAAAAACAATAAATTTAAAATTATTCACCAATATCATCTGGTGATCCAAACCTCTTAGATAACTCCATTCCAAGTCTTCGATCAATAACAATGTTTACATTTTCATCGCTATTAATGTCACAATAAAATATTTCTCCACAATTTTGAAAATTGGAATTTTGGTTTATAATATTTATGTTGGCAGATACATCATCATTTCTGTCAATATCAAATTGAACAGATATATTAGTTTGCTCACATAAATAATCACAAGTTGTCAAAAGATTTTCATTGAATTGTAAAAGACAGTCACGTAAATAATTTTCATCTTGGAGCGGAAAGCACTCTGTAAGAAATTTGACGTTAAATTCAAAAAATTCATCTCTTTTAACTTTATGAGAAAAATTTGATTCATTTGAGGTGCTTTTAAGTACATTATTTTCATTTTTTCGATTTGTATCTTCAATAATGCAACCAGAATCAGAACCAACACACCAAGATTTAAGAGCAGTGACAATATCATCAATTTTACCTAAACTGCTTTTCATGATTGTTTTTGAATTGGGAGGTGAAGAAATATCTTTATTAGCAATATCCTCTAATTTATCAACACTGTTTATATGTACATTATTTTGGGGTATACAACTTAATTCAATATATTCATGATACTTTTCACTGCCGTTACTTATAAATATACTTTTGTCAACCACTTTTGATGAATCTGTTTCAAGAGATAGAGTTGATTGCATAGGAACAATTTTTTTTTTATAACTTAATGGCACTTTCAATTTAAAGTTCTTTATAATACTATCAACTGTTACATTTTTTTCATATCTTTCCTTCATTCGCTCAATTTTTTCTTTTGGTACGCCATGAGCATTTCGTCTCAAAAACAAAATAATTATATTTGAAATAAATGATCTCTTCCACAAAACTAAATCTCCATTATTATTTTTGGTTTTTATAAATAAAAAAGTTTTAAAAAATTTTAAAAATAAATAAACTGCAACTACTTTGCTAGCTCACTAGGTTTCCAAGCCCAAGGTGTATCCGGTTCTACTATGAAAACATCATAATCGTGTGTTAATGCCTATACAGAAAAGAATTTACAAATTCATATTTAAATTAAAATAAATAAATCTAAGCTAAAATAAAAACAAATCAAATTAGAAAACTGATCCTAACTAAACTAAAACAAAATTTCAAAATATAACTTTTAAATTAACATCTAAATAAAACATTATTCAAAAATAAAAAATAAAAATAAAAAAAAAATGAATAAAGATACAACTTAAATACAGTAAAATAAATTTTTGTGTGTGTTTCATTCTATATACTTTTTACCATTGCAACGTATGGTTTCATTTCCCAGGCCATCATATTTGTGTTGTCTATAATGATTGGTGATATCTTTATCTCCATACCTTTTTTTGCTTTAAATAAAATTGAATTATTTTACTATGTAAAATTAACAATTAAAAAAGAACATTTTGAAAATTAAATCAAAATGCCAATGATCACCTAAAACAAAGGACTAAGTAAAACATAATAATAAAAATAAAAATGTAAAAAGTATGCAACATATCGAGGCATTATTTGGAAGATTCGAAACATTTCTCACTGTAGAAAAAATTTAACAACAAATTACAGTGCATTTCTTATAACAATGTATCAATTACATTTTTATATTTAATGCAAATATACACTATAATATTTAGAATTCTTAAAAGGTTAGACATTACTAAACTCATACCTGAAGAAGATTAAGACCTAAAGTGTTTAGATCTAAACTTAACTGAGTTTTATATATGTTATTATGAGACTTGTATGTATATATGTTATTATGAGACTATGAGACCCAACAACTAGTTTTTATTGGTAAAAGTGACCAACAAGTGATAGATTTTTACCAATTAAAAAAAATTGAAGAGGAAACTTTATAACCTAAAATTACAATTGAAATTTCTAGGAGAAGAAAGCTTCATATATAAAAATTCTTTAAAAAAATTTTTTTTATTTTTAATAAATATGTTATAAACTTTTTATGTTGCTTGTAAATAAATTTATACACAACTTCCAATAAATAGATTTGAAAAAATTATGTTAAACCTTCACTTCATTGGAATCTCTATTTTGTATACAAGCCTATACTTCTTTATAAACTCCTAAATTCCATTGGCAAAATATTTCTAGAACAAAACTAGATCTAAAATAATACAGTTTGCAGCAATGCAACATTCAATGAATTTTTATTAAGTTATATGTTATTAGTAATATTTTTTAATTGTCATTTTTTTTTAATAGTAAAATGATCATTTAAAAACTGCACACTTTTTATGCTAGATTAAATAGGTCAAAGTCTTATACTTTTTATAAAAAGCTCATCATCTACTAAAAAATATGGCAAGTTGGTCACTTTAAGCTACACTTTTAAAAACCAATAAGCTTTATTAACAATATGTTTTTTAAAACATAGCTTACACTTGCCATATTTTAACACTATTTATTTACCAATTTTAAATTTGTTAAGACTCTTAAGTCAGTCAAGACACTGCATTCAAAAAGACTGTTTTTTTTTTTTTTTTTTTTTTTTTTTTGCAACTCTCTTAACTCTTAAAAAAGAAAAAAGGAAAGCAGATGCAGTTTAGTACGATTTGGAGTCAAGGCTTATACCAAGCCTTTTGCTATAAATTCTTACTAAGTTTCAAAGTTAATTCTTTTTAAAAGAAAAACATCTCTAATTTTATTACAGTTAGCGAAACACAGATAATAAGCTCTAGTGTCATCAAAATTTCCCAGAATTCCAGATTATTGCTTTAACTTGAATTTCATTATTACTATTTTTATATTATTTATTGACAAAAAGTCATAATTAGTTTTAATTGGAAAAAAAAAGTTTTAAATTAGTAAACAAAATTCAAAATGCCAAAAGAAAATATCAAGAGGCGAAAATTAGGAAAGAAATGTAAAGTTAAAATTCATTTTAAACTGATTGTAGATATTAATTAGTGTCAAGGTCACTTACAAAATTTAACATATCACAAATGGTAAACGATAAGAATTTTGAATCTGAAAGGGTTTTAAAATATTAAGGTTTATTTTAATTTTATTAGATTATGAGTTTAGCATGTTGCCAAAAAGTCTAAATCTGCTTAAATGGTTAGATATTATTCTGTATCAAGAACCAATCTATTAAAAGTCCTTTTAATATAAATTGTTTCAAATAAAAATAAAATTTCAAAATTTTCTTATATAAATTATTGTATTTATTTAAATTCTAAATTTTTTTGTCAATTTAAATCAACTTATCACATAAGTCAAAAACTTATTTTTAATAAGTTTTTGACTTTGGTTACAAAAGATCTAGAAAAAAAGAATAACAACAATGTTTGTTTAAAATTTGACAATTAATTACTACATCACTAGTATCATAATTAAATGGCTCCATACTTCGATTTTGATTCCATTCGTGAGCATCACTTAATCGATTTGGATCATATATGTATCTAAATTATTTTATGAACTTTAGATTGTTAACTAATTAATACAGTAAATGTATATCTCTTTCATTACAGTAATTTTCAATAAAATTTATTAATTTTAGTAATCAATTAACCTATCATTGACAAAAAAAAAATCATCTGTTGAGTATAGCACACCATTTGCACCTCTCAACTGCCTAAAAAAAACATAAGCAATTTTTAAGTACTAATTTTAACAAATTTATTTATGTATTTATGTCAAAAAAAGTTCAAAACAAAATACCTTGCTTTTGTTGATTTTCCAGCTCCTGGAAGACCACGCATTATAACCAGAATAAAATTCTGGGTATCTTGTACAAACTTTTCGAATGAATCTTAAATATTTTATGAAAAATCTCAAATATAAAACCAAAATTATGAAATTTTTCCGAAAGATTTAAAACTTTTATTTTAAAGTGATTACCCTCATCTTTTTTTGCATTATAAAAAGTGGGTTGATTGTATGGAGAAAAAGGAACAACGTGCATTTTCTTTGAAGTATTGCTTGTAGAAAACTGATCCAATAAATTTAACGGTTGTTGAGCTTTTACTTTTTTTTGGTATAAAACATCACTATTATTTACAGGATTTACATCGAGTGATTTTTTTGTCTGTTCAGCTATACCTAATAAGTTCTCAAATGTTTCATCAACTACAAAAAAAAATAAATACAATATAAAAATTTTGGATAATTGTCATTAAATAAATTTTTATAAGAAATAAATACAGTTTATCCTTAATTTAATGTTGGTTATAAAAAAAAGTTGTTTCAATTTTGAAATCACCAAATGAAGTAAGTGTTAAGAAATTCAAAACACATTTGAAGATAAAAAGCTAATACAGTATAAATAGTGTTGTTTTAAAAGATATCGAGTCTGAAATAGTAAGTGGTATCTTTTTTTCTACTCATCAATCTGTACCTGATTTAGAACGGTGCTAAAAGGCTAAATCAGGTTAAATACATATTTACCACTGCTGTGATACTCCTGTATGAATAATGGCAACCAAATGATAATATACTCTTTGAGTTAGGCTAGGTTAATACTTATTTCAATTGGTCTAAATATTATTTTTTAGTCTAAAAATTATCTTTTTTTAATTAGGTTGGTAACGTAACTAAAAATGGTAAAAAATAAAATTTATGTCTGAAAAATTTGATTTTAACTAAAAAAAAGATTTTAAACAACTTTTAAATTACTTTAAATTGAAATCAACAAAGTCAAACTACAAGAAACCATTTGATTAAATATTTAATCCATTAAAAGTAAATAAAATATATAACATAAAAAATTCAATTCAACTTTTTTTTTTTTAACATCTTCACGTTTAACAAGGCTGCAAGCAACCACTATAACAATTGGAAGTTACTGGAAGAGAAAAGATGAAGTTTATAAAGCAAGATAACAATTAACAGATGAAAGATTATATATTGTTTGAATCTGGAAATAAAAATGAAAGGAGCGAATTCCAAAGTACTAATGTTCAATGAAAAAAAATAGATGAATAAGAATTTTTGTAGCAACTAGAAACAACCACAGAAAAAGGATGAGACTCAATTGAATAGCAAGTAACACAAGAATGAATTTTAGTAGGTGGGACAAGAGACGCTAGCTCTTAAGTGTGGCACCCATTATAGTATTTATAGAAAAGAGAAAGAACATTATGACAATGTGACAATGGTTGAAGATTAAGAAAATGGCGAGTATGATAAAGAGATGCAACTAATGTAAATTTAAAAAAGTATTGGGCCAATGGTAGAACCTTGATGAACCCCTAAAGTTACAGGATATGAAAAAGAGTGTTGCCCTATGAAATACTATGATTGGTAAGGAAGGATTCAATAGTTTTATAGATGTTACTTAATACACCATAAGAAAAAAGTTTATGGAAAAAACCAGCATGCCAAACTTTATCAAAGGTTTTAGGATAACAGATGCTGCTTTTCAGCAGACTGTTATCCCTGTTTCCAACAAAACAAGACTCTGATAAACACTTGTTAAATACTTTTGAAAGCATAGACAACAGCTCCAGAGAACACATCTGCAAGATTATAACAGGTATATTGTCCTGACCACAAGCTGTAAAACATTCTAAACAGGAAATCACTTTAGATACAGACGCTAAAAGATGCGAACGTCAAGCAATAGATCAACCTGTTGTTGGCTATATAAGGTAGGTTGTGATTAGAAGAATCAAGAGATGAGATTGATGAGAAATTCTCAGCAAACAATTCAGCTTTGTCTTTATGATAGGTAACAAAATCTGAACCATGCAAGAGAGGAGGAATAAAAGATTTACCCATATAATAGACACTGTTGAAGATTCTCCAGAAGTCTTTGGAGCCTAATTTTCAAGAGAAATATGAGATTTTGTGACTTGAGAATAGCGTGCTTGGCATTAAACAAAAACTTTTTACAATAGTTTCTAGCAATAGTAAACAGACATCTGTTTTCTAGAGAATTGTTTTGACAATATATATGGAAGTGATGGTAACAATTGAAAATTGTAGCAGCACAATGAGAGAACAAGAAAACTATGGAGAAGAGTAAGGCTTGACTTGGAATCATCGAGAGGGAATAAAAGATTCCATGCCAGCCTGAATCCACAAAGTTATGTAAGAAGCACATTTGTCAGCAGAAAGACGAAAAATTTCTACTCAAAGGCCATCACAAAAAAAAAATCAGGGAAAGAGTCCTAGTCAGCTTTAAGGTAGTTGTAAGAAATATGATAATTGGGTGAATATGATGATGAAGAAGAAAAAGATAACAGTTTTAGAGAGATCAAAGTGTGATCAGTAGCACCTAAGGGTAAATGTGCTGAAACTGAGCACTGACTAGGACCAGAAACAAGACACAGTCAAGTAGATAGAGGTAAATGATTCAGATCGTCTGGAAAGCAAGCTGGAAATTTGACTATTTGTCTTATAGATTGAGGCAAAGGCAAAAGTTGTGAGCCTTAACACCAGCAGATTCACTGACGCTTGAACCAAGCTATTCAATGTGATTAGCATTCAAGTCACCAACAATATTGGCTGAAGGATAAACAGAAAGGGATTGGTCAATTTGATCAAAAATAACATAGAAAAGAGTGCAGTCCAGAGATAAAGGAGACCAATATAGAACAAAGAGAAAGGGGATAGAGTAAAGTGGTGCTAAACAAACGCAGTTAAAGGAACAGTCGGTGGATTTAAATCTAGTTTCCTGACAAATGGATGAATTCTAACAAATGTAAATGCCCAGACCAAGCATGTGACTATTGGATTCTTTATGAATTAAAGGAAGATAACCATTAACACTAAGATCAGAAAATGAGACAACTGAACTCAAATTAGTCTCACAAGTAGCAAATAAGTCCGGTAAACTTTGCAAAAAATTCAACAGAAGAAAAGGTACTTTGAAAACCACAACAGATTCAACAGAAGAATTTTTAAATTGTTAACAAACTTGACTCAAAGAACTTGACTCAAAGCACAGATAGTACTCAGTACACTATTTAATAGTCCGAGCAATTGCCTCATTACAATTAATAAACCCTATGTCATAACAAAGGACTCCAAATGCGGCTTTGACAATGCACACCAAAAGTACAAACAGAGACTCATTTTATGTGCATCATGGTACTCTTAGTACTCTAATATTTTATAGCGGTTGATGGAACCAGCCTCTCTGAGAGCTATCAGAGTTGAGGAAACCTGACTACCAGCTGGCCTCAGAATCATAAAAATGAGTTTTAGAGCTGTACCCTCATTAGGAGACAATAGAATAAGTTGTCTAGTCATAAAAATAAATACATGCAGAATTCATGCAATGATTCAAGAAAATCCAGCATTCAACATTCTAAACTGAAAATAAGGTATTTTAAATACATCTATGCCAGCCTTCTTTTATTCAAAAACGAATTTGAAAGGAAAACTGAAACTAGTTTAAAAATTATTTAGACATAAAATTGGAAATTAAACATCAAATTAAAAATTTGTGTATATATTTAAAAAAAATTATAATAAAGTAAAAATGATGATATATTTTTAAAGTTTTCCTAAAAATTTTATTTTTTAAATTTTATTTAAAGTTTTTCCTAAAAATGATATATTTTTAAAGTTTTCCTAAAAATTAAAAGATTAAAGAAATTAAAGAGTGTAAGGCTACAACAAGAATCATTCATTTTTAAAGACTCTTTTTTTATATGGATTTACCAGGCAGGAATTTTTTAAAAAGAAGTTTAATAAAGGGAAACTAGATGCATAGAAATTTTCTGAGTGGCAGGTTTTCCGAGTCAGAATTCGCCTAATACTATGTAAAACATGGCTGGTTATAATCATTATTAATATTACTAGCAAAAGAGGATCTGAAAAACAGGTCATGGAAGCTAGGTGTATTATATAAGTTAACTTTGTTGGATTTTTCTTGTAACAAATTTTGTTTCAGCAAAGAAAACGAGCAACACATTCATAGAATAAACAATGTAATCTATAATAAATTGTTATCAAAAAAAGGCCATATATGTGAAATTCTATATGTGAGTATAATAATAATGGGTTTAGGTAAGTCGCCCCTTTAATTTTTAAATAGTTCAATGTATAATGTATTAGCTTAATGTGATATTTGACGTCATAAAATTCTCTTTATTTTTTTATTTTTTAAAGACATTAACTTTTTTAAATTACTGCAATAATATTAATTACCACAAAACGAGTTAAATATTATTTAACTGCTTTTTTATTATTACTATAAGGAAATGTTAATTTTCTTTTATTTTTTGTTAATATTAAATAATTAAATTTAATATTACATTTTTAAAAATGTTAAATACTAACAAATTTCTTTCTTTTTTCAAAATTTGAATAAATTAATTAAAATATGTTAAATTTTTGAATTTTTAAAATAATTATTTCTTAAATTTCTAATTGCAGCTTTGCAATTAGAAATGATTTTTTAATGAAAAAAAAAGTAGCGAGTAACAAATAAAAAAATTATGTTAATTTATTTACTTTATTTACCAAATGTTTATTAGTTTATCATTTTATTATTAAAATTATATTGCTGTATATACAATCTGTTAAAAAAAAATTGCTGTGATTTAACTTAGGTTACTAATTTAAAAAAAAAATCTAACTTACAATGTGCAAATTTTTGATGTAGCCGCTTATAAAAAATTTAATTTTGAGTAAAAAAAAATTTTTTTAGAATGAAAACTGAAAAAATAATTGCGAGCTATTTTTTTTTTTTTAAGAATAAATAAAATTTCAATATTGAATAATATTTTTAAACAAATTTGACAGTTAAGTTAAAACCCAAGTATTAAATTTTAATAAACTTAAATATATTTTTCAAATCAAAATTAAATTATATACTTTTAAAATCTAAATTAAAATGATTATTTTTTTTCAGAATAAAATTATATATTTTTATCAAATTAGTTTTAAATTAAATCATATATTTTTTATTAGAATTAAATTATGTTTTTTTGATCTTAGCTTCAAGCTTAAAAAATCAATCATTAAAATTATATAAATACAAAATAAAAATAAACTTTTAATTTTATTTGAGTTTTTTTCATTAGTAAACAGCGATTATATCAAACATAATTGTCATTCAAACTTTAGTAATAAATATTTTTACACGAAGGTCATTCAAAAGTTAATGCAACTTTGTTTAAAATTAATTACTTCTTTTATTTTACCGCTTAAATAATTTGAAGGTTAAAAAATGTTAATAAGAAGCTCAATCAAAATCGCTTACTGCATACATAAAATCGTTTAAGGCCTACGTAAATCGCTCTATGCATAACACTTTAAACCAAGGCCTGTGTTGAAAAAATAGCTGGCATAGCTGGTTAAAAAAAAAAAACTACATTTGAAAAAAAAACAAGTTAAAAATTAAAAAAGCCACAAGTATAAAGTCATGTTTTTTCAAATAAATCATTTTTTTTTTAATTGAATACCACACAGTAGACCAGAGACAGCCAGGTTTTATGTCATGTCAATTAAATGAAACTTTTTTTATTCAAGATAATTATAGAAAAAGAAGTTTTTGAAGTCCAAAAAAGGGCTAAAAATAGAAGTTAGGTTACTTTCCACCTACCCATTTTTATGATTGGTTATGGTTTAAAATTTTTTACCAGGGATGTGGAGTCCGGCTTTATAACTTTTTTTTTTTATGGTCTCGGGTGTGCAGAAGCTCTAAACAAGTTGGTTATTTAATGATCTGCTATAAGAAAAAAATTTATGATATTTAATGACTTATTGTTTTTAAGCCCGAAGTCCTGGAGTTTCGGAGTCCTTGCCGCCATTATACCTAGAACTCAGGGTTCAAAAATTAATTGTTCTTTTGACCTATAAGTCTTGATTTTCTCCCCATTAGTAGTCCATAAGCTTTTTATATTTTTAAAGCTCCTGGATACCTAAAATTAGAAAGAAGTAACCTTTTTGTGACTTAAAAATCTGGAGTCCTTTTTTGGAACTCTGCATCCCATTTTTTATTGATAGTCAGAGGGAATTAGATTAAAACATTGTTGAACCTGGGCAAAAATAGTATAAAGCTGAAATTTGGCACTTGGAATGAAGACAGCCATAAGATGAGCATAAAAAAAGACCCATTAATTTTGCTTCAAGAATATCCCTTTTGGGTCAATTTTAAGGGTAAAAATGCAGTCAATTTTGATAACTCCAAAATACCATAAACTCTATATTGATGGATAGCAAATTTTATGCTGATCTCTATATAGGAACAATGACTTGAAAACCTTTTTTTTTTTAATTAATTATTTTCGAAAAGTTTAAATTTGATTCAATGTTTTTGCCAGGCAAAGCTTTGTTTCTGAAACATAATCACCTTTTACTACACAATAGCACAAGATAATCAATCATTTTAAATGGATTTCTTACAGAACACCAGTAATATAACAATTCAAAATGTTCATAATCACACACTTTTTTTTTTAATACCCATTACTTTACACTCTAGACTGACAACTCTTAAGGCTCTTACAACAGCTTTTCCTTTTAGCATAAGTTTTACTGTATCTTCGAGGAAACTTACTTTAAAACTCTTTCTAAACCATTTCCTGCCATAAGTTCTCTAATGTTTCCAATAAAATTCATCATTATGCAAATATGGATATACTCTGCATACAACAGTGCAGAGTATATGCATACTTTGTCAGAAAAATTCAAGTCTTAACTTTAAAAAATTAAGTAAATAAATTCAAATTATGATGACAGTTTTCATAAACTGTCATTGATTTTGATTAGTATATAAGATCAAGATTTATTTCAGGCGCACATACTATTACAGATACAATTCAAATTATTGGGTTGAAACTTACCTTTAATAAACTGTGATAGCTTGATTCGTGATAAGGTTATCTTTAAAGACATGCCAGATAAATTTGTAATAGACTTGTGCTTCAAACATGGTATGCTTTGATAATTGCATTTAGAAGAACATATTGATATTAAAATCATTCTGTGAAATGTTCTTTTTATAGTTAATGTACAAATATTGTGATCAACAGTGTCAGCCACCTTATGTAGGAAATTCAGCTCTTGTTCTTGCACTCTACTAAATGCAGCAGATAACTTAAACAACTTCAAAGGATATTGAAAATCCAAATCTAACAAGGGGATCTACATGTTATTTAGTTCCAAAAGATATATTAATATCTAAACTGATCCCAAATGGAATCTGCAGTATCATAGATCTTGGTCATGAAACTTGAGCAATGCATTGTCCTAAACTAATTTGTTGAAGTTTTGAAGAAACTAAATGTCTTTAATGCCTAACATAACTGTAAGCTCTGTGGAATCCATTAGAGTCCATATTTAATATCGACCATATTCTCTAGTGATATACAGATAAACAGATTTATTGATATTCATTTCTCTACTTTCACTCTTAAATATACTTAAGGAAGGGGGGGGGGGGCTATGATATAATTTAAAGAATAATCTTCCGTTTTTTTAAAATTCGATATAATAAAAGAAGCCATATCTCTGAAACCAACTAAATTAGATTGGACAGAAAGTTTCTCAAAAAAAAAAATGATAAAAAGCGTAAAATGGTGTGTCATTTATGTAAGCATTAAGCCATTTAACATAAGCTGTAAGCCATTTCAGTCAAACCACTTTTTATAATTTTAAAATATTTAAACAAGTCTAAAGATATCGTTAAAGCAGTAAGATAAAAGAAATTATAAAAATCATGTATGAAGTTTGAGTGACAATTATGTAAAAAAGTTTGAACGGCAATTACATTTAATATTTGCACTATTTACAAATGTAAGAAAAAACAAAAGAAGTTGAGAAAAAGCAAAGAAAATTTTATTTTTATTAACCTAACTTTTCCATTAAAAATGTTCAGCAAAATAAAAAGAAAAAAATGCTATTTTTTTCTTTTATATTTCTTTTATGTTATCTTGCAACCACAATAATTGATAGATTACTAATTGATTTTATCCAAATGAAAAAAGGAAAAAAAAATTTTACAAACTTTAAATGACTTCTTAAAAAAACATCTTAAAAAAAGTTTATTTTTTTTATAATTAAAAAACATCCTCTATGGTTATAACTATTATTAATTTTCAAAATAATATTTCGAGGGAGCTTAGATACCTTCATTATCAAGAATAAATATAATTGATAACATTATCAAGTATAAAAATATTTGATAACCAATATCTAAACTCCCTCGATATATTAATATCTAAACTCCTTTGATATTGCATTGAAAAATTAGCAATAGAGTTATATCTATAAAAAAAAAAATTTATTTTATTATCACAA